AGTCCTGTGGAAATTAAGTTAGATGTGCTAACCAATCCGATTCTCAAGGGCTCATGACTGAAGGTACCGCTCATTGCTTCTTGCTTGATCTTACCGTGTTTTGCTTCGCACTCCCAATTAGGGGCGGTTATGGATGCCTCTAGCGCTTTACTGCTACAGGGTTGAAAGTTGAAACACTGTTGGACAACCTGAGAGAGGTAGGGCTCTACAGTTTTGCTGCTGAGTGCGTAGATTATTCTTGGTCAGAGACTGAATGCTGCGACTTGAAGTCTGATAGGTATGGGTGTGTTGAGAGAAACTTTGGCATTCCTGGAAGATGAGTTTCATCTGGTGAGTACGCGGGCTTGCTGCTAAGCAAGAGAAGATCTTGAGTATCCGGCTGCTCAGTGTCAATGCTGAACTGTGGTGTCTCATGTTTTGTAGCTGCCACAGTCCCCCACAAATCCGGGCAGCTCACTGGAGGAATCACATGAGTTTGAGGGTCCAAGTCCTACAGTGGTTCTTCCACAGGCATCGCCGCCAGTACCTTGCGCCGCCCACCACTATGTGCTTGCGTGCGGGCCAAAGCTCAGATCCGCGTTTTGTGAGGAGCGTCTTCTTGTAAGGCAGTCAGATGGTGCTGCGGGACCTGCATAACCTCCGGGGCCTGCGGTGTTCAAACCCCAAACCCTAAATCGCATGATGTCCATACAACGCGTGAGGTATGTAAGCTATAATGGACAATCAAACGGAAACATGGAAAATGAAATGGCAACTACTATTGTAACAATGGGGTCATATAGGGATAATACAGGGCTGTTTGCTTTGAGGTATCAGTGTCCAAAGAGAGTTGATAGTATTAGGTGCTTCTCTCTGAAAGACTCGCAGAGCCGAGTTTGACTCCCAGTTCTCTGGTGTTTCCAAAATGCCAAAAAAAGTTTCTGCCCTTCAGCTCCTGAAAGCTGCTTCCAGTTGGCAGCCAGCGCATGTTCATGTTTGATTGTCGGAAGTTTGTTTTTGCAGCGTGTGTTCTGCACCTAGCTCCTCTGCATAAAGCAGACAGCTCTGGTAAGTGAGGTTGTTACCCACAAGCATGTGATACAGTTTTTCAGGATGCCCATCTCTCTGCAACACTGTGAAATGCAGAGTCCCAGTTAATCGATCCGGGTAGTGTCTATGGGCATTCAGCTCGCTTTGCTGCAGCAGCCGCAGAACAGCTAAACTGGCGCTACTACACTGTTGATCGGTGCGGATGAGTGTGTGTGCGCACTCTTTTGTCCTTCCATTGCTCTTAGATCCTCCGTCTCCATTCGGTGTAGGGATTAGATGGGAAAAGACTATCCTAGCTGCAGGTGTTGAGGCTTTTGGCAAGACGCTGACCATGGAGGACGCGTGAAGTGTGACTACACTATAGGACTTTTGTTTCCGGAATTGCGCATTGCAAGCGTTCAAACATCTCAGGATGCACAGAGCATGTCCAGTACTGAAGCTTTGAGTGCCCGTAAAGTTTTGGAAAACTTCGGGCTTGGCAGTCTGTGACTTTCCCGTTCTCGTGGCTGATTGTTCAGGCGGGGGTCTGACCTAGAGGCGTGCTCTGTATTCCGTACAGCTCATTTGAGCCTGCTACGGTGATCCAGAAACGTTCGATTTCTCTAGTCCAACTACCATGTGCACCGCCCAAACCTGTACCGCAGCATTCCCAACAACTCTAGGGTTGGAGGGAACACCTGACCTGAACCTCTAACAGGGGCCCTTTATGGGTTGTTAGTTGGGCTTGTAGGACTGTTGGCCAAGAGAGGCGCTTCAGGTGTTCGGGTTGTCATACGTTGGGGATTCATTGGAATGGGCTGGCGGCAGCTCGGCTCAAAGCATGGGCCGAAAGATATTCGGTATCGTATTGGTGCCTGCCTCAGCTCATATGTATGTGCCTGTTTGTGGGACGGCGATGTGCCCTGACTGGGAAATGGACAGAGGTCCTAGGATAGTTCTTTTCTGTCTGGTGCCTTGGGGACCAGGCATGCGCCGCAAGACCAGTTATTCTTTCTTGTGAGTTTAGGCGCAGGTGCAGTTTTTCAAATTCAGCCTTTGATTCCTGCCCACGCCCTCCTCTCATGCTAGCAAAGCAATTAGAGTTGTGAAGTGAACACACTGGATCGCGAGACGCCGTATCTGCAAAACGAGTGCGCGTGTAAGAGGGAACAACAGTGAAACTTCCAGCCTGGGTGCCACCTGGTTCCGAACTTGAACTTTTCCCCGCGGAGCGCTTCAGAGATGCAGAGATATCCGGAGGGTGACAGAAACAAGATGCAGCATGCCATTCCTGCGACTTTTTTGTTGGATGAGTTGTCCATTTGGCCTGAGAGCTGCACGCAGGTTCACCCAGGCGTTTAAAGAACTATCTGGGTGCCTTTGAAGACAATCTTTGGTGCGACAGCAGTCATAATCGCATGTGCCTGGCTTCGTGGCCACCAAGCGTCCTGTGTATTGCGAACGAGTCTAGACAGAAACTTCCGTGCCCACTCCTCGTACTGGTTCTTAAGAATTAGCGACTAACAAGGGAATAGAAACCTTGTATAATTCTAGCGATATAGTTAGGGAAGAATGAGGGGATCGAATCCCTTCATAGTAGCTATTTCATATATTCCCCTATTCCCTACCAGTAAGTCGTGGTGGCAGGTGCTTCAATGGGCCATCTCATGGAGCCTGCTGCGGTCGAAAGCGCGCGGGCCAATGGATGTTGAAGCGGCTCGGGCAAAGATGAGGAAGTGGTCTTCATAGGCCCAGGTCTGGGGTGTAAGGTCAGGAGGCTTTCCGTCTACTTCTCATTCCTAGTCCGATTGCTTCTGCTATGGTGGTAGGGTGCAGGGCCTGAGGCAAGCTGGCGGACCTAGCAGTTGGCTGGTGCACTCCTCTTCATTCAACCTTGCAAGTGAGTTATTTCAGAACCAGCTAGTCTTTGATAGTGGAATTGCAGTTAAAGGCAGCCACGTCAGCCCAGGGTCGATACAAATGTGATTTGTTTGCTACTTTCTCACTACTAAGCACTGCTTGGCCACGTCACTGACAGAGAGTCGCTGGCAATCGGCACATGCTTCTGCATCCCTGTTGAATCCCTGGTGTTTGCTTCTCGCACTATTTTAAGACCTCTGCAGATGTTTCGGGAAATTTGATCACAAAGTGACTGACCCAGCTGAGGACAGCCCTTTTGGAACAAGAATCATGACGCGGTTTAAGGACATCTCAGCCCGGCATTGCCTTAATCACATTATGGTATGCTTTGTATTCTTCATTTCTTGCAGTCAAATAATATGTATAGGAGCTGCATTCCCAGGCCTATGTACATGAACCTCGCTTCGAATGATGCTTGGGTGCATGCAGAGGAGAGAGGAATGCTACGACTTCCTTCAACTTTAGACAAGAACTCCAATGCGGATGGTTGGACATGTTCCTGGTGCACGCGGAAAAGCTTTCAGTATGGTTCCAGAAGCTCCTCCCCACAAGGCAACCCAAACTTATCCCGAACCCCAATGTCATCTAACATCTTCACTCAAGACGCTTCTTTGGCAGCGCGGCCCCTGACCCGGGTGCACCGTAAATCAAGTAAGTTAAATGATCCTATCATCAACCTCATGCAAGAAAGCGATGGCCTGAATTCCATTGGGAATCCCACACGTCAATTCCGTCCACTCTAAACTCCAAATCCGTTCAACAAAAAGAGACCCTACAGCCCTGTTAGTTCGAGCAGCCTGTAAAGATCCTGCTGTGGAGATTGATATTTACAGAATCCCTTACCACAATTCCCAGCACCACAGGGTAGAAGGTACTTAAGGCCGTGCAGGATATCTTGGTATCAAAAGCAGCACTTATGATATCTGATGAGCTTGACAGAGGCGCCTCTGCAGTGGGGTGCCCCCTGCTACGGCATTCTTGGGGCAAGGCCACCTGAAAGCGAGCGATTCATTGAGAGCTTCAGGTATACTGTAGGAGATGCTTTGGGGAATGCAAAACACCTTTCATTTCTGTAGAGTGTGTGGGCATTGTGGGACAGATTTCGGGACATGGCATGGCCATATGATATGTGAAACATTTGCTTTGATTCAGAGTCAGATTCAGAAGCTTTTCCTGGAACGGGAAGCTCAGTTCAGAAGTCGTAGTGTAGGGATGAGCGGTGAAGGCTTGAGACCGGTTTGTTACAGGTGCTGCAGGCAAACTGCCCCTACTAAGCACACAGCAGTCTGTACCAAACTCCGCAGGCCCCCAAGCCTGAGACTTCAACCCTTAGTTCCTAACAAGCCAACCGAGCTGCGAATGCCAGAGGTTGTGGCGAGCGACCCGGCCACAGGCAAGGAGGCAGGCCTGGAGAATTTTAGATATTGGACAACTTTTGTGCTTCTTGGATTCCGGGCTGCAGGTCAAGGGATGCGAGCTTGCAGGTATTCAGAGCAGCAGAGAGCTCCAGGTAAATATCTGGGCGGCCTATGTGCGCGCAGAGTTTGACATTGGACATCTCAAAAATTGCTTAAGCACGACGGCATGACGCAAAAAGCCTATGACTGCACACCAGAAGCCAGCACTGAGCACAAAGCCGCAGGATCTCCACCTCTCCGATTCACTGATTCACCAAAATCATCATAAGCTGGTTGCCTACATGCTTTGACTTCTTGATTGGAAATCACCATGTAGACATGCAGTGACCGTTGTGCCCAACAGCCTGACAAGCTATGTAGAAACTGAACTGAGGCAGAATCCGTATAAACCATCTCCCATAAGTCGTGTCTCTCACACACACGCAATCCACATCGCCGGGCCCCACGCCTCGGTAGTACCAGTAGTAGTACCATTGCTTTGGTTGTTTTCCGTCATTCCATTCCTGTTACCCAGACCCCTGGGAGGATCTAGAAAGTAGAACCCCCAATTTGGTACCCTATACTAATATTGGGTAATTCCTAGGAACCCTTAAGGGGGATCTACTTTCTAGATCCTCCCAGGGTCTGGGTATTTCTACCATCCGAACTCCTGAGTTCACCTTCCGGGATGTCATGGCTGGACCTGGCTGGGCAAAGGAGCGAGCAGGGGTTACATTAGGGTTATATTAGGGGTATATTGGGGGTATATTAGGGGTATATTAGGGGTATATTGGGGGTATATTAGGGGTACATTGGGGGTACATTAGGGTTATATTAGGGGTATATTGGGGGTATTAGGGGTATATTAGGGGTATAGTGGGGTATATTAGGGGATGTTAGGGCCATATTAGGGGTATATTGGGGGTATATTAGGGGTATATTGGGGTTAATATGGGGATAATGGAAAATCAATGGAAACTACTAATATATTTTCCTGCCAGAAGCCTCTTGTGAGTTGTCATTTTGACAGAGAGAGGGTCTGGAGACAATGCAGCCAGTATGTTGAGGGATTTACGGGGCGGGGCCTGGGACCTGAGGACAAGTTGTTTAGACGGATTCAACAGGACCCCAGGAAGGCGCTACGCAGATGGGTTTAGCGCATTTTGCACTCCAATGCCTTGTGCATAACTGCCGGACTTCCGCACCGCACTCTGAGCGCAGAGAACCAGGTGTGCTTGCGGGACCAGTGCGCGCGTAGTTTGTTCCTGGCGTGCAAAGTATGGTAGACACGGTGCGCCCTGCAGGTTTTTGTTAGTATATCTGCTGTAATGTTGCTTGTGCCTCGGATCCTATGCTACTATAGACACCCTCAACCACATCATGTTGGCATTGCCAGTATCCAGCATGTGGTGCAGAATCCGACATGCATCAAAATGCCAGGGTCAGTTGTAGGGAAGATAAATTCGAGGTCTTTTTAGGAAGTTGTTGCCTGCAGATGGAGGACACGTTATCATCTTGTACAGCCCTCTAATTAGTTTGCAGCCTGACAGGAGTGGAACTGGGGCCATCATGTGCCTCACATGACCCACGAGACTGGACCAATGATCCCCGAGATCGATGATACCTGGCGCTGGTTGAGCCTGTTCAAAGAATGAGAATTAAGAACAACAGTAACAAGAACAATCATACTAATACTAACATTAGCAAACATAATAACATAATCTCATAATAACAGTGCACATTGTCTTTCTTCGATTCAAAGGTTGCCCGCGAATGGACTTGGAGCTTGGGATGCAACGTCTCTGTTTTTTGTTTTGTTTACGCCTTTACGCCCTTTAGTCGAAAGGATGTTAGGGGGTGCAAGGTGAGGGGGGCAGGGGAGCAAGCGCCGCTTTATAATCGACCTGAGGTTGGATTTACGCCCCTTGGCTTTCAACATGCCACAACTAGACATCCCAAATTCTTTCAATATCCTGTGGTTGAGAAGGATGCCAAGGAAGATTAACACCCGTTCAGAACCCAGTAGGGATTGGCTTGTTGACCATGGAGGTCAGGTTGTGGAAAAAATATGTACATAATATATATCCTGACCCTAGACTCTAGACCCAGGATCCTAATCCCAAAACCCAAAACCTGATCTCTAAGTAGCAAGGACTGGCTGGGGATGACCTACTTGGCTTCAGTCATCGCTTAGCATACATCCTAAATAGGAGTTCTCAAGCTCTTGGGTGTGGGGATTATTCAAGATGAGGGGTCTTATTCACGAGTCTATCAAGGTCATTTTGAGACTCCCAAATCCAGCGCTATGGATGGGGCCTGTGCGCACTACATCTAGGCTTCAAGGCAGACGCTTAGAATTCATCCCAGTACCAGGTCTGCAGTGCCAATCAAGGTTATACTGTTGCCTTCTTGGGCTTATCTTGGGCCACTCCTTGGGGAATTCTTACAACAAGAAGCCTGCCCCCATGTTTAAGAAAAAAGCTGAGCTCTCCTTGCCGTGATGATTCTTTCCAAGGAAATGATGGACGACGCCTGGCTTTAGCATGTTGTAGTATGTTATAGTACATTATGGTATATTGTTGTATACTATACTATAATATATTATAGTAGATTATGGTATGTTATCGTATATTGTTCCTTGGGGGGTCAAATGTCCAAAGATGTCAGGCTAGAGGGGCCGCGGTTGAACATGAGGAAATGATCACATTCCTAAACTCCAGGACCATCATGCTTTTTTTGCTCATAGTCAACTTTGAGTGACTTGAGTGACTTTCAGGCTTCAGGGTTGCAAATTTGAATTTTGGGTGTAGGGTTGAAGGCTAGGCTTTGAGGACGACGCTCTGGCTGGATTTTGTCCTTGGAAGGGTCAACTTTTCGGTTTAATCCGAAAGCTGCGCTGAATTTTGAGTTTGGGGTTGCCAAGCAATCAATTAGTCGGATTTTTGGGGTTGAATAGGATCCGTAGACAGTGCTGGGCCGGAAGATGGGTAATTTGGGGAGCCTGTTGTAGCCAAGGAGATGCAACGGTATGACAAAGATGACACCAGCATCGACGTGCGCTTTGACTTCAAGATGATGTGGGGCTGGAAGGAGGGTAGGTCAAACTTCCCATTACTGGAGCCACCTGTGTCAAACATGCAGAGGTTCAAAATGGCAGATTTTAAAAGAGTCAGGGAACAAGCTTGCTGGTACTGGGTGACAAGCTATGGTGGAGCCATGTGGAGCCGTGAGGCTGAGTTTTCACTTCCAGCACACTTTGTTCATTTTCCCTCTCCTGACGTATACGTATCTTGCTATTTGGCAGTAGGCTGCCGTATGGCTTCTGCTGCCAAGATTGTGAGCTTTGAACTCAGCCCCAGGTAACCGCATGGCTTCGCTCACAGTCATGCCAAAAGGATCCACAAGGGAAGAGATGCAGACCAGAAAGGCTGAACAAAAAATGGAGCATCATCTGTTACGGCTCAGAGTTTCGTACCAGACTTAAAGTCACGCGACCTCTTGCAAGCGTTGCCTTGCCGGGAAATCCTCTTGGCCCTCACTAAACAAGCTTCAGCAATGTATTCAAGACGCGCCGAGGTTTTACATGTCCATCGGGGTGCTGGGCGTTTTGCAAGATAACGCCACGGCCGATGCAAGGGTGCAGGAGCCATTAGTCAACCCAACATCCAGATCTCTTGGGATTGTAAGAGAAAGTCTCATGACCACTTGGCTCCCCTGGCTCCAGCTGCCTGAGTTGAACTTCAGCCAGTGTTGTATATAGTGTGCTATGTGATCTTGAGTCAGCGGATGGAAGGAGCTCTGGAACGTCTCGCCGGCCTCTCGGCAAGGAATCATAGATATTCCGTGGCAGCATTCTGAGATGGAATCTGATATACATAGACCCATGAGTACGCCAAAACGAATTCCCTGACGCGCTGGACCTGCGAAACATCGAGACCCTGCACGATGGAAAACCAGGTAGCATTCAAACGTAGCTTCGTTTCGGTATCCGCAGCAAGGGGCGGATGTTTGGGAACATAACATAGGATAGTTTGACGAAACCGTTGCTCGCTTGGATTTTTTTTATTTCTGGGTAAAGTCGCTGGTGTAGACTTGAAGAGCACGAGCTTTGTTGGAGTCCCATGCAGGCACAGCAAGACATGCATCCCTTAGCCTCATGGAAATAGAAACGGTAGCAGAGTGCCCGAAGGTCGTTGAGAAGTCGGAACAGCTGGTTGGCGAGTACAACGCGGCTGCTAAAGGGATACTCAGCTATCAACATTGTAAAGTGCTAGCTAGTTTGGGTAATTGTGCAAACGGGTGCTCGGTGAGCATGTTCTCCCAAGTAACGCTAACCATGATGTCTTTCAGAGTTCTAGGAAATTCGTAGTGCAGCGTTTGCCTTCAGGATGGGAATTTACTAATTAGGAAGACCCCAAGGTGTGCTTTAGTTTAGGCATATGGCACCCTGAACAAAGCTCAACAGCCATTGCATGCCAGACACTGCCCACTGGATATGGAGAATCATGGAGAGGATTTCTCAGGAATTTCTGGCACTGCCCTTATGGATAGTACCAGCCTTCAGGTAAAACTCATGCATGATTGGACTCACACCACCATGCCGAAGTGGAGCGGTTAAGCTAGGTTAGGCTGCGATGGGTACCCTCAGAGACCCTGGAGATATGTGAAGAAAATAAGCGAGTGAAACTATAGGGATGACTACCAAGGACCTACCAAGGACTGCTTTTGTGTGGAATATGGGTGTTTCCCAAAGTTAGGGGCAACTTTTTGGGAGTCCCTACAATAAGGACTATAGTATTTTGGGGTCTATATTGGGGTCCCCCTATGTTGGGAAACTACCATATAGGTATATGAGTTGTTTTCAGTAATTCCCATATTTGCAGATGCCTGCATATCTGTGTGCGGAGCTCTGCTGGTGCTTCGATTCAAAAGCCGGGGTCAGGACAAGGATGCTAAAATCAAAGGTTTGCAACAAGTTGTTGGCACAACCACGTACTGCAGGCTACTAGGGAATTAGGCCCTACATTATCTATATATACACACCTACATTATACATATATATAGGGATTATATTCCCTTATTCCCTACTAATCACCAGTAAATCTAAAAAGCAGCCTCTGAAAGCTGCATCCTCAACCACTGTCGGGTTTCGAGCTTATTGGGGTTATATTGGGATAATGGAAAAGAAAATGGAACCTACTACCGTATATTGGGGTTATATTGGGATAATGAAAAGAAAATGGAAACTACTATAGTATATTGAGGTTATATTGGGATAATGGAAAAACTGGAAACTACTGTTTTTATGCGCGCGCAGAGTTCACAAGCAAGTTATGTTACGCTCATTTGAGAGGTTGCTGCGAGGTCTTGCCACTCTCAGCAAGTTGACATAAACAATCTTGTATCTATCCCCGTGGAAATTCAGCCCCAGCCTTTCTCGAAGCTCCGGCAAGCAAAGGATGTCGCTTCTGCAAAGAACAGCCCCTCGTCAGCAGGGACACCAAAGAGTACCATAACGGGCTACGTTTACCTCACAGCCTTGTCTCCGATCCTGTGTTGCTGGTCACTACAGGAATAGCAACGCCGCGGAAACAACTTTAAATGACGCGACGTGCTGAGCGCAATTGCCAAGTGTCCTTTCCAACTGATGGGAGTTGCTTTGAGCGAAATTTGTGTATGAGTGGGCGTGCTTCTACTGGGAGTACCGCAGGTCCTCGGCATTTGCAGTGCTTGCCAGTCAAACATTCCAAGCACAAGCAAACAGCATAAGTGAAAGGCTTAGGGCCTTGTGTGATGCAGGCACTCCGCATGGCATCATTCTGGGATGCCATTATCCCCATATGAGCCCATATATGCTATAGTAGTTTCCATTTTCTTTTCCATTATCCCAATATAACCCCAATATACTACAGTAGTTTCCATTTTCCCTTTCCATCATCCCAATATACAACCCCAATATACTGTAGCAGTTTCCATTTTCTTTTCCATCATCCCAATAGGCGTATGCCATGAAGGAAACTGGAGGAAATGCCCCTCGCTTCTGAACAGAACTCTGAAGGATATGGAAACTGCTATCGTATATTGGGGTTCTATTGGGATAATGGAAAAGAAAAATGGAAACTGCTACAGTATATTGGGGTTCTATTGGGATACTGGAAAAGAAAAATGGAAACTGCTATCGTATATTGGGGTTCTATTGGGATAATGGAAAAGAAAAATGGAAACTGCTATCGTATATTGGGATTCTATTGGGATAA